CCATCAGGTGATCCGTCTGCTCGTTTACCGGCTTATGCCATAAAATAAAAAAAAATCTCATAACAGTCATGACCGTGATCTTAAATTTTTAATCTCCATCAGCCAGTAGACGAGGCTTCCTCAAGTCCTCATATTATACTCCTTCCGTTTTAATCTGTAGTAAAAAAAAATATAACCTTGCATTAAGAACTGAATCAATTAATTGATTCCGTAACGAATTATAATTTAAAACGGCTTAATGAAAACGCGACGTTTACACTACATAGTGCGTCCACAAAGCATTCTACGAACAAACATTTAGATTATATTTTCTTTTGTGTTGTTATTTTGGTAGATTTATATTTATGGTCAGCTGTAGTAGAACTAAAGCAGTTTTGCTCTATAGTAGCCGGTGGATTTCAGTGGACCGTGGTAGTGTCGGTAGAGGAGCTTAAACAAAGTGTAGTGATGAATAAAATCGTGAAAAGTGATCGAATGGGGAATTTGATGGTAATTGGTAATAAGTGGATTGTTTTGTTTATTTCTACTCGGTTACATTAAAAGTGTTTTCTTTCTGGTGGTAATTTCACGTGGGTCTTTGGTGGGGCAGGGGGATGCTACTTTCAACATTGCACTACGTATATTCTGCGGAATAGGATAGTTTCCTAATTTTTATTTTAATGTCCGTCTGGTACATTAGTTTGAAACTTTAGACACGTGTATTTTTTTGCTTTTCTCACATAATTCAATACTTTCGACGATATATTAATTTGAAATATCGTGTGACGTCACAGCGTGTCACATTTTGTAGCACGTTATGACGTACCGACCTCCCACTCATAAACTTAGCGCCATTTTATCTAAGTATTGCAACTTAATACGAGAAAATAAAAAAAATATGTGTCTATATTTTTTTCATTATCTAACTGACGGACTAATTAGATTTTTGATTTTGATACCCTGGACACTACCCAATTATGAAAGTTATGGATGTATCCTAGTATTCTAACTCCCCGGACTTCAGCGTTCCGGTGTTATCATGAATGTATCTATTGTAGATCTTGGCTTACAGGTTTCTTTTTAATAACAATAGCTCCTCACTAAGATTTTCTCCAGTGTCATGGGCGCGTTTACAAACATACAAGTTCATATACACATGACACCCGGACCCGGAACAACAATCTAAGAATCACACAAAAAGTTGTTCCGTACGGGAATCGAACCCGCGACACGTTGCGCGCCATCCACAATGCAATCAATTGCAGCAGTTTTGAGAGGATCAAGCGGGCTTGTCCCACTTAAAAAAAATCTACACACATCAACAGCCTGTAAATGGCCACTGCTGAGCAAAGCCTCTTCTCACACGGAGAAGGTTCGAGCATTAATCACCACGCTTGCTCAATGCGGGTTGGCGATTACAAACTTATAATTAGAAATTATACGTCCAGGTTTCCTTACGATGTTATCCTTCACCGTTTGTCAGTGGTGTCTAGATAATTTTAGAAAGTACATATAACTCGAAAAAAGTCACATTGTTACTTGTCGTTGGTAGGTTCGAACCCGCACCCTCATACATGAGAAGCGAGCGTTCTAAACCTCCGGGCCACCATGAAAAAAATTCTAACTAATTTGATATATAAACCTAGGACCATTTCATCAATGAATAAGAAAGAGTCTCTCTGCTCAATGAATTCACGTTTACAAAGCAGATCTTGGTACCTAATACAAAATTTATTCCTCAAGCTGATTCTGATTAAAGAATAATGATCAGCAACAAAAACAAACAACCACTTACTTCAAAATCTTACTAATATCCGTAAATACAATTTGTTACTAACGTAAACGATATTGGTACTTATTTACATACAAATAGTATTGGAGATCGCATACCGATGTGTTTACCAAATATTCTGATAATAGATAACCTTAGTTTTATGGCTATCAGCTTGAGAGGATCGCTGTAAGTAGTTGAATTGAGTGATCCGGAGCTAATATTTTGGGATGCTAGTAAAATATGGGTTTTATAGATATTACTTTGTAGCGATTTCAGATGAGCTTCATAGGCAATGTGACTGCCTCGTTGGCCGAGTGGTCGCAAGTGCGACTGCCGGGCAAGGGGTCTCGGGTTCGATTCCCGGGTCGGGCAAAGTATTACTAGGTTTATAAAAATCTCAGTAGTAGCACGGAGTCTGGAGATGTGCCCGGTATATGGCAATAGGCTCACCCCCTATTACATGGGACTCAACATAAATAGTGAAAAGTGGGTGTTACAGCTCTACTAGTTTCGAACCACAGAGGGGTTCTTCGTGCAGCCTACTGTAACTGAACTGTAACTGAAACGAGTAGAGCTCAGTATATTCACGTGAGTAACCCGCGATTTTTAGTTAATTTAGTATGTCTCACGATAGTTATTATAAAAACACAACCACACATATTCAGTACATAGTAATCATTAAGTTTGTTTGCCAATGGAGTGGAGGACAGACCATGGAACGATGTTCCACTCCAGTATAAGCGAAGATACCTTCTATTCCTCTCTATTATTGACGTACGGACGTCCTCGGCTCACTGCCAGCAAAGTTAATGCAATCACGTAAATGTTCATCTCGTTTGAAGCTACTCTGCACCTGCAGCTGATTGTGTAACTGCAAACATTTTAGTTAGACTACGTAAACGCCTTGATTACTATATAGAATAGACTAAATATTTTCCCAGTTGTTAGTTTTGATGACTGCTTTGCTAAAATATTCACCCAGTCTCCACAATCTCCGAATCCCCCACAATCCTCAAATTCCCAATCCCCAAAAGGCCGATAACGAATTTGTAACGCCTCTAGTGTTTCGGGTGTTAATGGGCGACGACGATTGCTTACCATCAGGTGATCCATTTGCTCGTTAACTGGCTTACCCCATAAAATATATTAATTTGTTTCTGTTCCACTTTTTATAATGAATACATCTATGCTATCTTAAACTTTAGAAGTTAGAAAAAGTATCTATATTATGATATCCATCATCCATTCGGATGTTGAACAATAGCTGATGACAATGAACATTCATTCACAATGTTATGTGTATGTTTAATTCCCCACTTTTGAGTTTTGACAGTTTCGTTCAGTAGGAGTTAGGATAGTTGACGTAATCATAAAAATAAACACCCTAAATATTAAAATCCGCTTTAAAATTAAATAAATATCCCTTTAAAATCTTAGAAGAAATCAAGAACCTCTAACAGTTTCCAGTCGGTTCCGTTTCATCAGTAGAGGGCTCCACGGTCGAGTAGTCTCCAGATGAGCTTTCACCACAACCAGTGAATCGTGACGTAATAACTAATAGAGAATGTCATTACAAAAGGGAATCGTGCGCAACTCGGGACTCGAAGAAAGGTCTTTGAACTTAATAAGAAAATAATTCAAAAGTTGACAGTTTGTGGAGAATTTGTAAAGTGTGGGAGAGCTATGCTTCGACACGAATGGGCCGGCTCGACAGGAGTGGTACCACGGCCTCACGCTAACGCTTGCGTTGTGTTTCGTCGCGTGAGTGAGGTTATCGGGTGCCCAATTACCCCCAATCTCCCCAATCCCTGAATCCCCAACAATCCTCAAATTCATAATCCCCAAAAGGCCGGTAACGCGCTTATAACGCCTCTGGTGTTCCGGGTGTCCATGAGCGATGTAGATTGCTGACCATCAGGTAATCTGTATCCGTTTATATCCCATAAAAAAATAATTTTGTCAATTTTTTTGGCTTAAGATGGCAAGTGAGTTGGGTAACCTGATACCATCAGCAATCGGCTCTGCCTAGATACTCAGAATTTTAGAGGAGTTACTAGTTGCCGGCATTTTAAGAATGGGGGATTTGGTGATTATTAAGGAATTTGAATGTGGTTACAGTGGTGGTTCTAGCAGGGTAACCTAATTGAGGTGGTTTTAATTTAAGAATCTTACACTTAGTATATCTCCCTAAAACTTTAGCGCCTATTAAAGGTTTCTCCCCGTAACGCAAAACGGCATAGATTCCGACTTACGACATAAAACATTACTCTATGATGACCCTCACTAGACTTTACACCCTACTAAGAAAGTGTCAAGGTAGATTATTCATTATCAGGTAACACTATCATTTCACATGGCTACAAAGCTATCTAGACAGAGTTCACACACTGTGTGTATCATGTCAAGTTTCCAAGAACTTTCTCGGCGATTGTGAGCTGTAGTTATTGTGTATGTATCTTGTGTATGTCCTGTCTGTCTGTTTGTTTGTTTGTATTACTATCATTATCTTCATCGTCAGCCTGTAAGTAATCCACTGCAGTTCAGTTACTATGTAGGTTTTAACAAACTGTGATACTTCATTCCTGGACTATAAACCTTAGTGGTGTCACTATAAGGTGGCAAGTCGGCAAAATGCCAATTTAGAGGTTCTCATCCGGATTCTTTCTATTTTTATATTTGGTAGGCCTCCGCATCTATGAATTTGCCACGAGCCTCCATCAGTATAGTTTTACGCCACTGATGGGCTTCCACAACAAAAGAGGATTTTGCCATAACCTCCATACTTGGCCAACAGGTTAAAGGATCAGATAGATGTAGTTATCAGAGAGTGCTACTGCACGATCTCTGTTTGACAATTGTATAGGTACTGCCGTCTGCCGTCACCACAGAGCAGGCTTTTTTAATAATAAAGACGTTGCCCCATACTAGGAGTGCGTTTACAAACATATAAGTTTACATACACATGCCACCTAGACCCGAAACAACAATTTGTGGATCACACGAAGAGTTGCTCCGTGTGGGAATCGATATCGTGACACGATGGGCGGCAGCCGCAGCACCGCACCAACCGTGCCATCAAACTCTATTACTACACTCATTGACAAAATAAAAATATGACAGTCAGATAAAAAAAAACTAGAAGATAAAAACCAAAAGTCAGTCACCTGAATACAATAACTGCTTAAATAAATATATTGTAAACCGCCTTATCTCCAATGACGTCATAACTCTGATACTTCTGTTCCAGTGCTGCAGTATGCGCGAGAGTCTCCGTCGACTGGCGTCAGATGACGGCATGGAGCGGCGCGGGCGCATCGCTGGCAGCCGCCGCGTGCGCGTCGAGCTCATGTTGGCAGAGCATATCACTGTTGATGTTGATGTAAGTTAACTTATTTATTATATAATTATGTGACATATTGTAGCTATTTTGCGGAGTTCTTCAGACCTTTTGGGCGTAATATTGAGTTTAGTCCTACATTGAAGAAGTTTTCGAGCTTAATTTTTTCAACTTATGATTTACAATTTTTGCAAATGTGGTCGCAATGTAGGGCTAAACTAAATATTACTCCGTCTTAGAATCTGTGTGGGAGCCTGGTACATTGTGATTAACCCTTGCTTGCTTAAACTATCACTAATTTTCAGTCTCTAAGCAAACCATTTGTGACATTCATCGGTAACATAATATTCGTATTCCTTTTTAAAAGGCCGGCAACGCACCTGTGACTCCTCTGGTGTTACGGGTGTCCATGGGCGGCGCTAATCGATTGCCATCAGGTGATCCGTCTGCTCGTTTGCCTCCTATTCCATTAAAAAAAATATCGTTCCTCTTTCTTAATACCTGTTCAATAATCTTCCCAATCCAAACAAAATTCTTACAAAATCATCTCAAATAATCTCAATCATCGCTAACCGCGTCTTGAATCCTCATCATTCAATTAAGGTCGAGCACACCAATTACCATCACACACAGGTGACCTTGTGCGTAGCTGTTTCACCCAACTCTGTTCGTGTCATATTGAATCAAAGATTTGGGATTTGAAAAAAGGAGAGGGGAAAATGTCTCTTCATTTGTTTATTTAGATGCCACTAGAGGCGCTGGTATTTTTTATAAGAGGGGAAAATCATCGTATTACTTCTCCCGCCTGGGTGAGGCGGGAGGGAGTGTCAGACTCTTACTGACTAAAAACCATCCCGTTCCTTCTCTTGCACTTCGAGCCGGAGCCCCGGTAACCGATTAGGTTCTCCGCGACAGAGGCAATGGTATAGTTTTTTAAGACTTTTGACCAATAGAGTGTTTGCTAATTTTAAGTCATTATTCAGTCAATTTGTGATAACTAGGTTGATTAGAGTAATAGGACTTTAAACATCACTAGCGCCATCTCGGAAGTACAAAATCATAATCATAATTGTTTTTTGTTCTTAATTTTGATTACGTACCTACTAATTTCAAAACTATGATGTAGAAAGAAAATATCAATACTCTTGTAAAATTCAGCTGTCTTATAATATTTATGAATCAATAAGTATGTGTATTCGTATCGATGCTATTTATTATAAATAACAATTATAATTTAATACACATACGAGATTAGTTAGTTTGTTCATTCATTCATTACATTGAATAGAATGTACATAACTGCAATGAAGTAACAGTGATGCATTTAAATGGTAATTTAATACAATCGACTCAACGACCGGTCAGTGGTGATTGTTTAGTAGAAACATTCACTGGCCTACTGTAGAAACATAATATTTTAGAATTTGATTAGGCAGACATTTGTTACAGTGTTAGGACAATACTGTACGAAAACTTTTAAGAATTTATAGCAAACTAACTACTTCCACGCGGTTTCACACGCTCTGCTCAGCTCCTATTGGTCGTAGCGTGATGTTTTGTAGCCCATAGCCATTCTCGATAAATGCGCTATCCAACACAAAAATAATTATTCAAATCAGACTAGTAGTTACGGAGATTAGCGCGTTCAAACAAACAAACAAACAAAAAAACAAACTCTTCCGCTTTAGTATAAGATTTCAGCCAATTTATTGTGTCAATCTCTTACGACGCGTATTTATTTTAATCAGTGTTATCCACGAAAAGGTTATATTACTGACACTGGTAGCTACAAATATAAACAACAATGGTATCTTTGGACGTGATAAACTTAGTGAGAGGTTAATACATAATGCAGCCAATGCAGGTAACCACTAGACAGCACAACATACATTAACTACAGTTAGGCCCTTTAGGAATGTGTGAAGGACGAGTGTAGCATTTGAACGTCGTCGGTCACAGTATTTGCGATTGTAGTGATTTAGCGATGTAGCAGGTGCTAGCAGTAACGATTAGGCACTAGGCAGTTTGAAGAATTTGTAGCTGTAATATCACAATACGCTACTACTGGTGTCACTGTCACTCCAGAGCATCTTGTTTGACCCAAAAAACGAAGCCAAAATCTCATGCAATAAGATTACAATAGCCTTAAATTTACTAATACCACCAAGTAAATATTCAGGTCTAAAAATTAACAAAATATGAGCACCATTTAAATAATTATCATTGTCAATTTCCAGCGCAAAGCCCGTGGTTCCGACCTGCTAGACAAAATCTGTGACTCCCTGGACCTGGTGGAGAGAGACTACTTCGGCCTGCTGTACACGCAGCGAGGGGATCCCAGGGTCTGGGTGGACCTCAATAGGAGACTGTCTAAGACTTTCAGAAGTAAGTCATCATAAATATGTCTGGGGAGAATATTCATTAAATATTTATTCTTTTTGATTTCGAAAGAACAAAGAAAGAAAGAGAAAAATGCGTTAAAGATGTTCTTATTACAATTAGACCATGGAGGCCTTTGTTCAGAAGTGGACAACTGATGATGAAGAGTAGTATCTAAATTAGATATTCCATAATTTCCAGACGAGCCCTGGGACGTGCGGCTTGCTGTGAAGTTCTACCCTCCAGAGCCCAGTGAGCTGAAGGACGACGCCACAAGGTACCAGATAGCGCTGGCTGTCAGAAGAGACCTCATGGAAGGTGGGACACTACTTCAAACATTGATTTTACGCCTGCCTACTAAAGCTACTAGCTTTAGTAGGCAGGCGTAAAGGAGGTATTCTCATTGTACGTATTGGGTAGCTTTAAGCTACCCAATACGTACAATGAGAATACCTCTCCCGTTCCTATAGACAGGGACTCCACTATGTCAGAATGCTCCATATACGTAAACACTCCCCTAAAATTTGCAGGTCGTCTAACATGCTCCCAGATCACCTACGCGCTGTTGTCGTCGTACGTGCTGCAGGCGGAGCTGGGCGACTACGAGGATTGTCACGACATCACCACCGCGCTGCACCAGCATAGCGCTGTGCCTGTTAATGCCATCACGCCCGAGCTGGAGGCTAACATTGATGAACTGTATCGGAAACATAGGTGAGATTGAATGATATGCTAGGTGTAGTTAAACTTTCTAATGTTAACTGCTATTCGCCAGAGGAACACGGTTAAAGCACACACAAGCTTAAAGCCTACTTTCCTAAAGAAAACATTTTCAGTAAAATAATACTCCTATCCATAATGATGAGGCCCATTTAACCGGGCCCTTCCCCAATGTCCCCAATCCCTGAATCTCCAACAATTCTTAAATTCCTAATCCCCAAAAGGCCGGTAACGCACTTGTAACGCCTCTGGTGTTTCGGGTGTCCATGGGCGATGCCGATTGCTTACCATCAGGTCTGATCGTTTACCAGCTTATACTATTAAAAAAATGTCAGCAACACCAGAGGCCTTTGTCGTTCAAGTGTTGCTAAACCCATATACTCTAATGGCCTGTTTACCATCGCTGGTTAGTCAAAAAAAATATTTTAGTCTATCGGACTATATGCAAACTAATTACTGGCATAATTTTACGTATCTTCTATATGGAATATATCAAAACACTTTGTGTCAGTCTGCTTAAGATGTTAGTTAGTTTAAGTTTCAAAATAGGTAGTCTGAGACCCAATCCTAAACTAGGTTTTTATTTAAAATACTTTTTTCATTTTCTCAGAGGACAAACCCCAGCAGAGGCCGAGCTGAATTACCTGGAGACTGCGAAGCGGCTGACGTTGTACGGCGCGGAGCTGCACACTGCGCTCGACTGCCAGGACGTCGCCATCGCACTCGCTGTCTGTCATAGTGGAGTCGCTGTCTATAGGGACGGGTGAGACCTTCTCATTGTTAGAATATATGGACATGTACCAAACACATAAAGAAAATAAGACTGGGTTTAAAAAGGCAGAATAGAAATTGGTGCAAATCAACTTAGAGACGAAAATAGAAACTTACTGTTTTAAAAGTTCGTGGGAGTAGCCCGGTATCAACTTAATTAATAAGCAACTACCTAATTAATGACTAATATTGACGATTGATCGATACCTGAATCAAAAAAGGATATTTTCAACTTGTGCCGAAAGCCTTCGTAGTCTAATTGAAATAAATGATTTTGACTTTGACTATTTACCCCATCTCCAGCCTCCCAATGAACCGGTTTCCCTGGACGAAGATAACAAAGATCTGCTACAACAAGCGACTGTTCACGCTGCGGCTGCGAGCTGGAGAGTTCGAGGAGTTCGAGACCATCCTCAGCTTCAAGCTCGCCTCCACTTCCGCCTGCAAGAAGCTGTGGCGCTGCAGCGTGGAGCATCATATGTTCTTCAGGTAATCACATTTCAAACATACGTCTATTTTGGTCTCACCAAAATTTAGTGAAAAAGTTTCCATGACTTTTACTTTTAGCTGTAGCCAACTACCATTAAGCGCTTGTCTACATGTAGAATAGAAAACCAAATTATATGAAATTGAAGTAAATTTTGACACTTGTCAGTGTCATCCAACATCCAACATTTAGTTTTCTACTCTCTCTGTAGACAAGCGCTCAAGTGGCGTTTGGCTAAAGAGACTGTTATTTACGAAAAACACGAAAGTCACGAAATAAGCGCTCCAATTCAGTCATTACTTTTAATATTCTTTTTTTATTATTTCATTCATACTCACACGAATCGAAATGAGAGTTTCAAAAACCGACCATGGTTGAACGAAACACTAATTCTGACTATACTATAAAATAAGTAAACATTTACTCTTTGACTGAAGTAACACCCAATTAATTAATTTCCAGACGAGAATACCCTGTAGTAGTGGAACGTATACCAGGGTTTGCCCGCCTGGGGTCCCGACGTCTCTCCTGCAGACGCACGCTACGTCAGATGAGAGCAGAATCCGACAACACACCCACCGCAGCCTGACACCACACACATCGTGCCAATGGAACAACACCGAGCACTGTTTTATGAACTCACATCAAGACTTAAGCTCCCGAGAGGGTAGGCAGGACACTTATTGCCGTTTTTGTCAACCATCTCCTATCTAAAAGTTACGTGTTGGCTTTAATATGTAGAACAAACAGTAAACCCGTGTACTGTTAGGTGTCGCTTATAGGTTGGTAAAAACGAATATTGTTAAACTAGCTGAACCCGCGACTTCGTCCGCGTGGAATAGTGATTCACAGCTCCTCCCCCGTAGTTGATAGCATGATAATATCTAGCCTTTATGTTCACTCGATCTGTTAGTAATATTCATGCAAAATTTGAAATAAATCCATGCAGCACTTTTTGATTTCATCCCGGACATACATACAGACAAAAATTCTAAAACCGACAGCCAAAGGCCGGCTGTTGTGAACCAACCAATAAGCGTGCCGTACGCGCTCGATATTATTACGTTACGAATGCGATAGTTATTCGCACTTGGCACTCTATAGTCTAGGTTAAACTATGCTGTGGTTAAAATTTGTAAATCGAAAATCCTTATAGTGTATGTTTAGACAATAGAATTGAGGCCTTATTGTGTCATCGCAATGTTTTATGAAAATTAATGAATGTTATAACTAATTAATGTTATGTATTTAGGGTCGATTTTTCAATGCTCTGTTAAATTTTAACCGAGGAATAACATTGAATAGTTGACAATTCTTCCATACTATAAACTGCCAAATGTCAATTTTATTCTACAGTTAGGGATTAACTGAGTATTGAAAAATCGGCCCTAGTGTACTATTAATTATTGTATGTAGATTACTGAAAATTAAAATGTAAGTAAATGTTGTTGTTAAGTATTAATGTAACAAATGCGACAATAATAGATACGTTTTGTAACATATTTATTACATTTTTTATACCTCCGATGTATTTTTGTGAAATTAATAAATCTTGAACGAATGAGGAAGAGTTTGAAATTATTTGATAAAATATTAGATAGATGATAGATTAATTTTATTTTGAGATGTAGGAAGTCCTAAGTAGTCATGTTTAATTATTATTGATGTTTCTTGCAGTAGCTAGTATTTACTATTTTTTTATAAGGCATTGCCCCTCACTGTAATTTGCTCCTGTATCGTGGGTGTGTTTACAAACATACAAGTTCACATACACACGACAACCAGACCTGAAACAACAATTTGTGGATCACACAAAGAGTTGCTCCGTGCGGGAATCGAACCCGCGACACGTTGCGTGGCAGCCGGTTGCCACCGCAACAACCGTGCAGTCAAAGTAAAGAAATATTTAAATGCTAACTACACATGATTTTAATGCAACATTTGAGTACTTGCGTATATACATACTGCCTAGGACTATCAACAGTACTATGGTATCGTCCGCTAATTAGACTCGCCCACTTATTTCCCATTTCTGTGCACATGAGTCAATCACAACCACAAAAAGTGTGTGAAAATTCACATATCGATAACAATGATAATAGGGATATTGAAAATTTACATCATTGTCATCATCAGAGACCCGACAGCGACATTCTGTGAAAAACCTCAATATGTAATCTTCAGCCTATCTGCCACAAGAAGATATTATGACCAACCTTCGTTTGGAATTAAAATTTGGAATTATTCAACAACAATATTAACAGCCCGCTGTAGCGGTTAATACAAACCTTCTAAGGTAGGTACACTGCAAAGCAGTCATGCTAGCTAAGGAGGAGGCGGGACGCGTGAGGCAGCGAAGCGCTGCCTCCTCGCAACCCAGCCATCGCGAAGGACACACCGGGCGTCGGGGATCGCGGGACGATCTCCGGCCACCGTAAGCGCGGGCCTGCGGACGGCGAGCATGGGTGGCTCCCCGTCCGACCAGAAACAGACCCGAGCGTACGGCGCGTCGCGTTCCGCGCGCGCCTCAAAGAGCCATCAGACCACCACAGATGGGGCCCATTAGGGTCGATGCCGATTCGGAGTCGCGGAGAACCTAACGGGTAACCGGGGCTCCGGCTCGACGTGCAGGAGAAGGAACGGGGTGGTTTTTAGTCAGTAAGAGTCTGACACTCCCTTCCGCCTCACCCAAGCGGGAGCAGTCAATCGATGATTTTCCCCCCTTAAAAAAAATAATAGGTAGGTACACTGCATTTTTGCTCTCAACTCGTCTGTGACTTATACGCCTCTCAAGGATTTTTTTATTCATTGGCTACAATCGCATCAAAATTCGTTTAGTAAGTAGTTTTCGATTAAATAGCGCACAGCCATATAGACGCCGCGCTCCGGATTTCCTAAACAAGTATAAAGATATCTGCAATAATATTTAATGATTCAAAACTTTAATTAAATAGGGAAATACCTAACGTACTTATGACAAAATAAATATATAACTAAAATAATATGTATGTATGTGATGGATCAGTGGTTAAGTAAACATCTTTAACGTTGCGGATCGTAAGTTCTATTCCGGCATAGAACAAATATTTGTACAGTCAACGGTTCGCAATAAATGCGCTATCCAACACAAAAAGAATTATTCAAATCAGACTTGTAGTTACGGAGATTAGCGCGTTCAAACAAATAAACAATAAACAAACTCTTCCGCTTTATATAATAGTATATGAGTATAAGAGAACCCAAAAACGAAAGTGGATAACTTATGTCATGAGTCCCATGTAATAGGGGGTGAGCCTATTGCCATATACCGGGCACAGTTTACTACTGGCATACTAGGATTTTTTGGTATGATGGTAAATAGGTAAGTACATCACATAATGTAAATAGTATATGTAGGTACATGATGTCTATGTAAACAATGGTGTAAGACTAAATGCTCCAAATTAACAGCAACTGACAAAGTTGTTTTATTGATATTCAATTTTATTCTTAAGTACTAAGGTTCAAAATTGATTTAAAATTATGTATCTACCTATGTTAATTAACATTTAAACTTTAATTACTCAGTTGGTTTATACGTCGGCGGCGGCGTCAATATGTTTTTTAAATATTGATTTTTATATAATTTAATTATAATAATATTACAAAAACTGTTTTTTAAATGTTTTTCGTTAAATTATTACCTACAGTGCTTACTGCTAAGCATGCATCTGGCAAAAAAAACTACCTATTTTATATTAAAAACAAGTAATTCTTATATTTTATATTATGTCTTATATAGTCACTAGACTATTTTTGGCAATCCTCGCCGAGGATGGGAGAACTAGAACTAGAAGACGGAGGCCTGACTAAAGACCACCCTGTTCTTAATCCTGCTCTTGGAGCCGGAGCCCCGGTAATCCGTTAAGTCTTCCGCGGCCCGTCACGATGTTCTCCTGTGTCGTGTTCGTGGGTGCGTTCACAAACACATTTTTTTACGAGCACATCACACTTAAACCCAGAGCTATAACTTTAAAAATTATACAAAGAATTATTCCATTGCTGGAATCATCAGGGAATTTTCTTTCAACCGTTCACGGCCTCAATTAGGTCCTTCACTCTTTAAATAGGTATGGCAACACATGCCACACGTCAAATATCGATGGAAACAAAACAACGGATGACGTCACAAAATCCTTTGTTTTTTTATATTTAATGGGGCGACGTTTGACCACTATCTCGCCTGGTGGTAAGCGATGATGTGGTCTACGATGGCGCACGTCGTCCCATAAGCAACCTATTCACTAGGGCCTTGAAGACTCTCAGGTTATACCCTTCAGGAAATACAGACTCTGGCAAAGAATTCCACTCTTTAGCAGTACGCACAAGGAAGCTTGAAGCGAAACGCTTTCTACATCACACATGTGAAGTTTACATGCACATTAACACGGATAGAAAATCCCTACGAACAATTGTTGGGCAGAAAGCCCGCCAGGCACGATCAACCTCATCCTCCTTTTCCCATCTTAGGAAACTTTACTCTCAGTTCCCTAAATAGGTATCTCCCAATTGACTTCTGATTTGCCTTAATGGCAATTTGTGTCCAAGCACATTGTCCACACGAGATTGTTAAAACCACCTTACAGTTCTTTATTATATCTGTGAGGGCTACAGTTATGCGTTTTTTACAGTAGGTATTGCTATTTTCTGTGGTTAAAACCCTAGGTTTTTCTATTATTTTTCCTTATAGCCACAAAACCAATGGCATGACTTGGTTAACAAAATTATCGAAACCGCAAGGACATAAAGACCAGGTTGCGAAGAATCAATATATTTTATGTCATGGTCTATAATTACACTGCCTCGTCAGCCGAGTGACCACTTGCAACAGCAAGTGCGACTGCTGGGCAAGGGGTCTCGGGTTCGATTCCCGGATCGGGCAAAGTATAATACGGGGGTTTTTAAAAAATTCTCAGTTGTAGCACGGAGTCTGCAAATGTGCCCGGTATATGGCAATAGGCTCACACCCTATTACATGGGACTCGTAATTAGTGAAAAGTGGGTGTTACATTGTTCAGTGGCATTAAGTGCCGTAATGTACACCTCTACCTACCCCCCTCAGGGATAAAGGACATAATGTTAAATTAATATTTTTCGGTTTTCGAAAATTATGTAGGCCCTTTAATCACATGCGGTGGATGGAACAAAACGGTAATTTATTTTTTATCATATTACAAAGGTAAGTTAAGTACCCATCATAGTAGGTACTTAGCTAGCAGATGCTTAAACTGTCAAACACCAAGCGGTCACCGGTGACCGCGACCTGTTGTTCTTTAATTGTGTCTATAAAACCGGTACTCGACGAGTTAATACGTATGCAACCCTCGTTAGAAGTCCGTCATCAGCGCCACTGATCTACCTATCTATAACGTCATGTAATTCTTATTAATTCACGTGAAAAACCACACGATTATATTGTGCTGTGAATTCTAATTATGTAATTAATCACACTGCCCGTTATAGCTATTACACGTCTAACACACGGTTAATTGGGGCTGCTCAGAAGTAAGAATAAGTTCAGTTTGGAGCAGAAGTTGGAACATGGTGATT